AGCCGCTAAGCTCGTACTTTTTTCTTCGTTATTCCCAGTGACCACTTATATGAGTGTTCACTTATGCTAATTATGCATACTAATTTGCTAGTATCACTACATCTCCCTGAACCTTAAGAATTTTATTCCTCTCGTAGATCTTGTACACCTTCTCCTGCTATTTTCATCACTTTGCTCTATTTCTCTCACTCCCATATTTCTTTCCCTGGGAGCCCTCGATCTGTCCCGGGCTAGGCTGTAGTCATATGTGTTTTCTTGCATAATCTAGTCTTCGTCCAAACTTTCAGACTCCTTCTGGCCCTCTTCATCCTGCATTGTTTCCTCTTCTGACCTTTCCTTCTGTAATGGTTGTTCTACCAACTTGTTATCAGATGGAATTGAAGACATTTCTTCATCGGTTCGTTCTTCCTCTTCACCCTGGGTCCTTATTTGGTCTGCATGGGCTAACACACTATCGCCATTTTCTCTATTTATTATGGCTGTATTGTGGCCTTTGTGCATTATAAATTCGGCTCCTTCCGGATCTGCATCTTTGCTCTTTTTGTACCACATCTTTTCATTTGTAGAATATGACATCGTTAACAGAGCTCTAATCTGCCTTCCCATTAAAGCTGATGGGCTTTCCAGTCTTCCCGCATGTGGTATCGTACGATAGCTTAAAAGCAGCCTCAGTAGAAAAACTTCTCCTTTTTCTTTTTGCTGAGAGCATGCTTTTAGCCCCTTTTTTACGGTCTGTACCATTCTTTCTGCTAATCCGTTTCATTGAGGGTGATATGGAGGTGTCTTATATGGTTTACACCCTATTTTTTCTAACCATACGTTAAGTTCTTCATCACAAAATTCTGGTGCATTATCAGATACCAAGGTTTTTGGTACACCATTTCTAGAAAATATGACTCTTAGAATCTGCTTTATAGTAGAACTTTTCTTGTTTGTAACCCGGATTATTTCAGGCCAACCTGAAAAGGAGTCTACTAATATTAATAAGAATCCCACTCCATTAATGTATGCATGATCCATATGCACACAACTCCATGGCTCCACTTCTTTGGGCCACGAATGTAATTTGGTTTGTGTAAAGTTTCTTAATTCTTTACATTTTTTTACACCTTTTACATATTCCTCAACGTCTCTTGAATATCCTGGCCACCAAGCTTCTAATTTTATCCTTTTTTTTTTGTGGCCGCAGTGTATATCATTATGTACACTTTCTATTATTGGTTTTTCTTTTGTGTTTCTGGGGAACTACCAGGTCCCCATTGCAAATCCTCCATGTTCTATTGTTAATTTGTGTCTTATTTCTTTATAGGGTCTTTCCGCCCTAGAACAATTTCCCCACGAGTTTTTCCTTATTCTCGATATTATCCTACTTAGCACTGGATCATGTCTTGTTTCCGCAGCCATTCTGTCTAAAGACAAAACATCAGTCTCTATCAAGTGTAGGAATGAATCTTCAAATTCTTCCTTTGTTTTGTCTTTTGACTCCTTGTAGAACCTCAATCTTGATAGTGCGTCTACATGTAGAATTGAATTTCCTTTGACATACTCTATATCAAAGTCAAATGCCATCAATCTTATCACCCATTGTACAATCCTTGATGTCATGACTTTGGTTAATTCTTTCCTTGGGTTAAATATAAACTCTAATGGTCTATGATCACTTCTTAACAGAAATTTTTTCCCAATTAAAAATTGTCGGGCTCTGGTAGTTGTCCACACGATAGCCAATGCTTCTTTCTCTATGTTCGAGTAATTCAGTGTTCGTTAATCTTCTCGACAAATACATTATCGGATGTCCTTGTGATAATATTCCCGATATTGAATGTTCACTTGCATCTGTAGTGAGTGTTATGTCCTTTTTAGGATCAAAAATTTTCACTACAGTTTTCTTTGACATAATTTCTTTTAATCTTTCAAAAGCTTTTTGCTGTTCGTCTGACCACATAAATTCCACATTCTTTTTTTCTTAAATTTGCAAACGGTTCTGTCAAATCCGTGTATTTTGGTAAGTATCACCTGTAAAAATTTACCAATCCCAAAAAAGACTTTTTTATTTGTAGGTGTAGCTACTTTTAGTATTTTTTCTATCAAGGCTTGGCCTGGTGATATACCTTCTTTTGAAATGGAATAACCTAAAAAAGATATTTTGTTAGAATTGCTTACACATTTTTTTTCATTTATCGTCATTCCAGCATTTCTTAATCTATTCAAGACTAAGTCAGTTTTCTCTTTTAATTCCTTTTCATTAGTAGCTCCTATGCATATGTCGTCTTGGTAACAAATCATATTTTGTACATTTCCTAAAACCTGTTCAATGGCCCTTTGAGATATGGCGCTTGCGGTTTTTATTCCATATGGCATCCTTTTCCATCTTAGTAACCCTATTGGCGTATTTATCGTGGTTACTTCTTTGAAGTTTTCGTCTATTGGTATTTGGTGGTATGCTGTTTTTAAATATATTTTTTGAAAAAACGGACATCCCTGCCAGTGCATGTAAGGCAAGTTCAACATTGGGTATTGGATATGAATCCGAGCATATCTTGTGATTTACTCCTATTTTGTAATCTCCACAAATGCGTAAATCACCATCTGTTTTCCTCAAAACTACAATCGGTGATGCCCACTTGCTACCTCCAGGCGGAACATGTTCAAGAAGGTCTTGTTCTACTAATTTACGTAGTTTTGTCACTACTAATGGCAATAAATGTACTGGTAATTTTCGTGCCTCATAATAAGAGGGGGAAACATTTTCTTTTACTTTTAAACTTGCTTCATAGTTTTTTAACTTTACCGTTTTTTCCGTTTTTATTTCATTAATTAACTTAGTAGAATTTATATTAAGCACGTCATTTCCAATAAGCCCGTGTTTTTTTTTGCAACTTGTAACAACTATAGGTATTACTTTAAATTTTTCTTTTAACTCTAATGAACCTTCAAAGTATCCTAATATTTTTATAACCGACCCATCAAATTGGCGGAGTTGTAAACTGCTTTTTCGTAAAGGTGGCGTACCAATGTGTTCCCAAAAATTTTTTGGTATCAGTGTTACTTCACTCCCAGTATCCATTTGCATATCTAAATTGCAGTTATTAATTTTGACCTTTACTATAATGTCTTTTTTCTTATGTTCAATTCTTTTTAAAGTCTTATTTTTTAATGTAAAAACTTCCCTATCGGTGTCGTTTTCTTCAATTCTTTCAACATTTTTCCTTTTTAATTTACACACTGCTTGAAAGTGGTTCTTTTTTTAAGCAATTATTACAAGTTTTTCCAAATGCTGGACACTTTTTCTTTTTCATTTCGTATTCACGTCCACAATACGAACACTTTTTCATCTATTTAACATGTATGTATCAGCGAATATTTGTTCGCTGGGTTGCCTTTTATAATGGTTGTATATCTGTATTAGTTCTTGTTGCTGCATGAAGTCAATGCATGTATTTAAAGACATATTTCCTATTTGTAATTGTTCCATTCTTTTATAGCGGTGTGACACATTGGACATACCTTCAATTAGTCTTAATTGAATCAAGTCCTCTTCAATAGTCTGTTCGTCTTGTCCAAGTTTTTCAAATTCACAATATCTTCTTGCATTTCGTAGACAGTGTAAATATTTTATAATTGGTTCATCAATTTCTTGTTTCATCGACATGAATTTCGTTCTTTCTGCCACTACCAGCCTTTTCTTGGGTCTCGTATTTCTTCTTATAATCTGACTTATTTTTTCAAAAGTCAGGTCTTCCAAATTTAAGGGATATGCCATGGTGGAGACTTTCATTATCGCCTCGCATCCATCTGTAGCCAAAAATTTCATTTTCGCCTCCCTTTTCCTTGTTGTCTTTCAACTTTTTTGTTCTCGCAGTGGCAGAGAAACAACGAATCCATGTATCCACAAATTCTGGATCTTCCAGAGACAATTGATATCCTATCGGTGACGCCATTGTTGTGAAGTTGAAGTTAGCAATAATCATTTTCCTCATTATTCCCAGTGACCACTTATATGAGTGTTCACTTATGCTTATGCAAATTATGCATACTAATTTGCTAGTATCACTACAGAAACAGAGTACAGGGAAAGTTAGATTCATTCCTTTGCATAGAACATTAATGAAAACATGCAGTTTTAGCTGAGAATTAAACTCTGCCAATTTCATTTTCTATCCCAATAACTGTTCCCTCATTCCACACCCTCTACCTTCCATGTAACTGAATTTTTAAAGATATCTTGTGATGAGACAGAGCCCAGGAAAAGTGGGATTCATGCCTTTCTCTAGAAGCACACCGGAAAAATATACTATCAACATTTCTTCCAAGAAGCTTTCATGAAATTCACCCTAGTATCAACCAAACAAAAGAACTTTTTGAAAATTTGTTTGCCTTTTCATTTCTCTAAATCTTTGCTTGTCATTCACACAAAATGAAGCCAAGGATGTTTCTCTTTGGACAAATCCAACAGAGCATTTTCAACACACTCTTTCATAATGGCTTCAAAATTCTCAGTACAAATGAAGTTCCTGTTCTATTTGGTAATCTATTTGGTAATCATCTGGCAATTTCAAACTGAAACTTTTGGTTCTGGTACATTGGAAGCAATATCAAAAGGATGAATGAACAGGAGAGTATTCCTTGATACAAGATGTCTTCCGACATGGGCAGCAGAATGAAAACAATCTATTCTTTTGCATTGAATAAAGATTCAGTTTTAAATTTCTAGATTACCAACTAAAAGAGATGCCTGAAGAAGGCTGAATGTACAATGGTGGAAATGTTGTGATAATAACAATGAAAATGTGATTAATAATCCAAACAAATCAGTGGATAACAATAATTTCTTAATTACTTTTGACACCATTTAAGATTTTTCATCACTGCAAAAAAAATGTATTAAAGAAAAAACATATTAATGAATAGATAAAAAAGAACTGATTGAGTTATCCATAAAATCCATTTTTGGATTGAGAAAAGAAAATATAATTTTTTTTTTTTTTTTTTTTCTTCAGACATTGAAATCCATCTTGATGCTAATAATCAGCCACTGTCATTTGTACCAGAAACAATAAGCACTGAGTCTAAGGAATCATATTCCTGGAAGACCCAACAGGAAGTGACTTTTACTCTCTTGCAAATGCTTCAAAATCCATTGCAAAATCTGTCATCCATTTCTAGGTAAGAAAGCATTTTGCTTTTTTTTCTGGCAGAATTTCAAACTTTTTCAAATTTTTTCCATATGATCTGAAGGATAAAGGATTTACTTACTAATAGGAAACACTAATCGATTTTAATGAAAAAAAAATCAATTCTGATCAGTATAATTTGTAGTAGTATTTTGAAATACATCACAGAGTATTTTGCTTACTGGAAATAGTAAATTTTAAATCCTTTAGCTTTCAACTAATGCTAAAATAAAAGCTTCAAGAAATCTTTTTCATTTTTAGAAAATCATTTTAAACTTATGTATACTGAATTAGTGAAGGTATATCCTCAATCTTATTGCCATTAGTGTTTTTTAGTTGTCTTTTTATTCTTCAAATGTCATTAACAGGCATATTAAATATATATATATATATATTCAAAATAGAATGACAATCCTTGCCTAGTGCTCCATTATTGTGGCCTTGTGTCAGTTAAGCCAAACTCATTTTTTCCTATTCTATTTGCTTGTACAACTATGTAAGTATATTGTAAAGAAAACAAAACACTTATTTCTATGGTTTTTATTTATGTCTTTCTTAAAATAGTAAAAACTGAAGATTCTTTGTTTATTACTAATGGTTTATTTTTAATTTTCAGTGCCCCACAGATTTCTCGAAGGTAAGTGCATCTTCTAATTGTAATAAAAACTGAATGTTGATTGGGGCTCTTGATGTGAGGAATATCTATCTACTATCTATATTTCTCATGTTGTCTGGCTGTGTTCTGTCATGGGCGTTGTTACCTCGTCCAGGCCGCATTTCTCACCCGATTTCGATGCGGTTTTCACCAAAAGTTTGAAAATGGCTGCCGTAAGGACATGATGGAGCCCGATTTTTGATTTCGGACACAGGTTCCAAAAAAATCGATAATCGAAAAAATCTGCTTACAGAAGGAATGATCGCATTTCAACCAAATTTGACACCCTCTTAGAGTCTATCATTAGAAGTGTTGTCCAGAAGTTTCATGACCACGGACCCCTAAACAGCGCGGAAAATCGATAAAACCCAAAAACCAATACACCCAGATTGCGCCTGAACCGCATGTCGGTTTTTAGCGAAAACCGACCAGATTTATGAGGAGGCCATTGGGAGTCAGCATGTGAAGTTTCAACTCTGAGCACCCCCCAGACAGAGTGCAAATTGACAATCGGTCAACCCTTAAAAATGTTTTTCTGGTTGGGTATTTCCTAAATGCAGATTAATTTAAGGTCACGCTATGCGTGGGAAGAGAAAAAGGTCAGTGCGTGCAGTGGAGTGGAAGAAAAAATTTGACCTGAAATTCTGGAATGGGTGCAGGGCCATTGAAATTCGGCTTTTTTATCCCTGCTACCAGGTCTGACTTTGAGCCACAAATGACATATTCGACTTTGTCAACACTTTTGCTTTAATTGTCGCTTCTTAAACCTTTTCCCCTAGCGCAGGCCGCATCCCAGACCTGACGAGGAGTTTTTGCACCTCAGTGTTTCACTACTATTTAACCTTCAACACTTCAACGTTTTGGTTGCGTAACCTCTTCCTACAGTGACATTTACGTGCTGCCAGAAAGCACGGCCCATAGCTAGGAGAAGTTTTTTCCATACCGCTCCACTGCATTTTTAGTTTTCGTATACAATGAGGTTGCACCGCTTCAGCTTTGGCATCAACTTCTATTCACATTCTTACACAGCATTTCTACAACCCTTCAACTGGCTCCTACACGACAAATATCCGCACGTCAGCAACTGAAAACCCCTAATACCGTTAACGTTACACATGCAGAACAGGCAACTGCGGAGGAGCACATAATATCTCCAGTTACAGATGATCATATAGTGTGTACTTTTCACACTTCTGCGTGCCGTGGCAATGACCAACCCGGCAGTTCTGCAAAGGCTGCAAAAACACCCAGGCGAGGCAACCTTAGCAGGCGTTATAAAAAAGCCTCACTGGCTAAGAGGAAACAGGAGCAGGATTCCATTGAGTGCGCCTCATTGGGGGAGAAGCGGATGGCGTCTACTTCAACCTCTGCTTTGCACTCTTCTGAGTGCCATGGCAATGACCGACCCGGCAGCTTTGCTAAGCGTGCCAAAATACCATGGCGAGGAAACCTTACCAGGCGTTCTAAAAGAGCCTCTGCGGCATAGAGAAAGCGGGAGGAGGAAGCCGAGGTAGAGGCCTCTTTGAGGCTTTCCAGTCAATCTCAACGGAGGCTGCATGTTTTGTCACTTGGTGAGTGAAACTACCATTTGTACTGCAAATTCGTTGAAACGTAAGAGGAAACTACCTAAATGCTTGCAAGACAACAAAAAAGCGGCTTCATCACAAGCGCTTTTGCAGTCTCGACAGAGCCCGCATCGAAAAGCTACTCGCAATGCAGCCGACGTCACTGCAAATTCCATTCGACGGTCCCAAAAGAATACGGCTGAGAAAATTGCACGTAACACAGCAAAAGCTGCGGCAACGCCCATTCAACGGTCCCAGGAATCCATGGCTGAGAAAACCGCACGCCATGCAGCTGCTGCCACTGCAACTTCTGCTGCATGGGTGTCGGAAAGTTCCGTGCAAAAGCGCACAAGGCAGCAACGCAATGCAATTTCAACTTCCGCTGCTAAAGTTATAGAAGGACCTACTGAAAGGCTTGAAAGGTTGTAGACTGTTAACCAGCGTCGCCATGCACAGCGAGGGCTCTGTAGCCCACCAAAGCAGTTTTGGTTTAAGTTGGTGTTCAACCTTGAGCCAGGTTTGATGCTTTCTGGTTGCAAAGATCCATGTCAGTTGTCTGTGGGCATTGGAATGCCAAATAAAATGGCCTCAATTGTCTGCAGGTTTGTGTTGTTCAGACGGTAAGGTACGGTTGCCACCTTTTCAAGAGCTATCCACTCCGTTGAAAGCTCTGTTGGAGGGTTCCAGTTCAGACTCTAAACATTTCCTCGCAAAAATCAGACAGTACAATTGTACCTTCCAGATGACCTCTTTTGGTGGTAATGCCTTCCACGAAGTTGGTTGGAATCCCACCTGCAAGGTTCTAGGTCAGGTTTTCCACCGGATTGTGTCTCTTTTGTCGGAAACTGCCACTGATTTTGTTTTCTACAAATATACTTCATAGCTGACTACAATAAACAGGCAGTTGCCCGCATGGGCATTATTTCTGAGAACGATACAGGCCAGGACAATCATCCTCGCAGGGATATCATAATGATTCTCCAACAAATGCTCCACAAGACAAACAGCTATGTATGCAGTTTTAAGTATGTTCTCGAAAATAACACTTCTTCTGATTTCATTATTGTAATTGATGCTGACAAACGGCCCCCAGGGAGAGAGCCGAACGTCGTTACAATGCTCCATAAATAACGAAGTTTCCGTCATTGTCAGCGGTGATCAGCACAACAGACATGACATTGTTATCGAATCGCACGGCTGTGGGTTCCAAGAATCAGTGAAACGCACCGGTCCTGCGATACCCACTTCTCTTCCCTTACGGAGAAGATGGGTACCACTTTGTCATTCTGCAAAATGGGTCCACCTTAAAAACAGTGTCTTGCAGGGCTTTCTAAGCCTACCAATTGATGGTACATGAGGGTGCATTCAATAATCTTCATCGAAACCGGCAACTTTTCCATCAATTCATAGTAGACATGGCTGCTAAGATGGAATCCGAATGACTCTGTTACATCAGATTGAATCAGACCGAATTGCTCTGCGACTCTTACATTCATCTCCATGATGTTTATGAAATGACGCTGATTCACGCAATATAGGCAAGATATGCAAAATACCTGCAACATTCAGGAGCTGTCTACGATACATGCACGCGAGGACTCAAGACGCGATGACATACATTCGTAAGTACGGCCGACCAAACCTATTCATGACTTTCACGTGTAACCCAAAAGTGTACACAATTGCTAAACAACTTATGCCAGGGCAATCGGCCTATGGCCATCCAGACCTCATTGCGTGCGTTTACCATCTGAAGTTGGGAAAGCTAATGGATGTGATTACAAAGGGACAGGTTTTGGGGACTGTTTGCTGTTGCATGAACACTACTGAGTGGCAAAAACGCGGCCTGCCTCACGCACATATACTAATTTGGCTGTGAGACAAGATTGAGGCCACAGAAATCGATCATCTTATTTCTGCTGAAATTCCTGATCCGTCGGCTGACCCTGAATTGTACGAAATAGTGACAACCAACATGATTCATGGCCCCTGCAGGGTCGCATTACAATTACACCAGCCGTTACAACAGCGACAACAAATACACCCGGCAGTACCCATGAGATTTCTTGAGCGAAACCATTACTGGGAGATGATGGTTATCCACTGTACCGGTGAAGGAGTCCCGCTGAGGGAGGATTTACAGCCGTGGTAAAGGGACACCAAGTGGATTGGTAGTGCCATACTGTCCCCTGCTAACAAAAGCGTTCAATGCGCACATCAATGTCGAATATTGCCATTCAGTTCGCTCCATCAAGTGTATATGCAAGTACATCAACAAAGGGACTGATGGTGCAATGTTTGGTATTAGTCAGGAAGGTTCCATAGACGAAATCCAGGACTTCCTTGCAGGGTGCGTCATTAACAGCACGGAGGGTCCTTGGCACATATTCAGCTTCCCCATCCATGAACACTTCCCAGCAATCGTCCAGCTTGCTGTGCACCTAGAAAACGACAAACTTCGTTATTTTTCTGCGGATACAGCCATGGATGTGGCTGCACATACCAAAGACACAACACTTACAGAACAACTTACATCCCAATTCCCAGTCACACCCTGTTTTGCTATATCAATTAATAAGGCCCAAGGACAAACGCTGTCTGTCACTTGTGTACACTTAGAGGAGCAGTGCTTCTCACACGGCCAACTTTACGTAGCCTGCTCTCGAGTCGGCAGGCGCGAGGATGTGCTCCTTTATTCACCCTCGCTAAAAGCTGAAAAGTGAAGGGTACATCGGCATCTGATGGATACAAATGCATCCTTGGGATAAGCATTTGCTCCCCTTTACCGCATTACTGTGAAGCATTGAACTCATCGCCAACTAATGTATAGTTGCAAGCATCAATTGTCTCTCCTCACATCACCATACCATATGTACAGAAATGAATGACCCTGACCAGAGACCCTTTTGTGCAGCAAAAAATCGATAAAAAGCTTTGGTTCGACCCTGCCATCAGCTGTCAGTTTTTGACTTCTTTTCACGCCCAGGCTGCAATTACCGTCAAATGTCGATTCAACTTCCGACATTTACGGCGTCAATTCGTAACAGAGACAGATTTTCAGTTTGGACTCAGGCTTTCAGAAAATTGGTAAATCGGCTGGTACCCTGATATTTGGGCAGATTACATTCTAAAATTTCGGGCATTCTTTACAATTCAACCAGAAATTCCTACACAGCCCAGTTACAGGTGCCTTGCATAGAATCCCGTGTGACGTCGTCGTGTCTCAAAAATCGATACAAACCTCCGTGTTGACCATGCCCTCAGCAGTCCATTTCCCACTTCTTTAAACTTTGTTCTTTCTCCCAGGCCGCATCCCAGATCCGATTTTTCAATTTACGTCATTGTGTCATGCAGGAGCCCGATTTTTTATTTGGGACTCAAACTTTGGAAAAAAAACAATTAACTCATAGGTGATAC